AGGTTTAGGGGAAAAAAAGTTTCATCCAATTATGCTTATTCTATGAGGATGTAGTTAAAATATCTTCACTCATGCTCTGTTCTTCTCAGCACATTAGATTAAGATTTTTAAGGAAATAAATAGTTATAAGTCTCTAAATCTCTTCACTTGCCCTTAGCCTGCGCAAGAATCAGTTTCACAGATGTTTTCTGTGCCAAACTTCATACAAGTGAAGAACCACAGGTATTTGCACATTTATAGATTTTGAAAAGTCTGTGATGCTTGTCTGCCTTTCCTGTATATATCTAGGCTATAGCTGGGCTCAGCTAGAGGATTGATTGAAAATGTCAACTTGTAACTGCAAATGTAAAAGGAATCATGCAATATATGAAATAAAAAATACACTTTCCTTTACAAAAAAAGAAAGTGCTTTACATGATGAAATATAGTGCATCTAGGTGTCTTAAACATGCAGCATGGTAAATTACTAACAGAAGCAGATGTAGTTCTTTAAACAATGCAGGGCACAAACTTTGATAGTTTCATCGTGAGCATGGATTACATAATGCATTTGCATTAACTGGAACAATTTTGTAAATGAGCAGAGACCACAGGAAGATGTCTGACTAGATACAGAGATTTTAAAAAATGAGAGATTTAACCACTTCAGACTTGCAGTTTGTAGCAGTATGCAAACTGATGTATTGTCCCCCATTCTGCAAGTGTGAATTTACACATCTTAGTATATAACAAAGAAAAGAGAATATTGTGATAATCCGTCTGCTAAAATATTACCTCATGTTTGCTTTAAACAATAACTGATAATGAAGCTCTTCCCATTTTAAGCTGAAGAAATAGGTTTACCTGCTACATGCTTGTCTGAGACGTTCTTCCATTTTGTAACGTAAGAAAAATAGTCACTACAGCAAACTCCCAGAAATACTCTCACTCTGTTCATTTGTCACATGCAGAATCTGGCAACCAATTCAATAGCCTTTAAACAGTCCTAGAACTGTGTCCACTGTATACATTACTGGGGCAAGCCTTTCAGATTTGCTACCCAGACTTGTGATATAAACAATAGCTAGAAACAAGCAAAAAATCCTTTTAAATCACTAAAGCTTGAACCTGATGAAATTAAAGTGAAAAAAACCCAAGGAAATATATAATTTAATCGATTTTCCTACAGTAAAAGCAGGTTTTCATTATCTTGGGTATTTCTCCCCCCAAATTTCTCTTTGTCGTTTACAGGCAAATTCATAGTATTTATCCAGCACAAAGGAAGCCATGATATTATAAGCATATTAAATGTTCAGGATATGACAGAAAATGAGAAAAGCCAAGAAACTCAATGGAAAAGGCTATTGCTCTGAATTTTCTGAAAACAAAGGGCTGGACAAACTCCCACTGACTTTAAAGGGACCATGAACAACAGTCTTTTTTATTAAAGGAAGCCTTAATTCTGAATTCTTAAACTTTTGTCAGTTTTATCTGAAACTGCTTTTACTGTAACCACTTGTCACATAGAGGAACAAAACCACATAGCGTTTCAAAATTTACTTTGAGCATGCCTTGGTCCTTGCAGGTGTAATGTAGTTACAGCTGCAAACCTGACAACAATGGCATAAATCTTAGCTCCCTCATTCATGGCTCCATCTTCTCAAAGCAGGGGATGAGGATATAGTCAGGAAGTTTGTGTTACGCTGTCACAAAACCAACAGAATTTGAATTCTGTGACAGAACCTTCATGCCCTCTCTTGGAAAGATGCCTATCACTTTTATTCCTCATCTTACTGCAGAAGAAGGAATATGTCCATAATATTAGAAGCAAGAAAGTCTGATGATGGGTGAGAAAGGGAAGCAGGCTTGAAATAGTTAAATAAAGTGGGTATGGTAAAATAAGGATAAAGGCAGAGAAAGGTTGAGAACTAAGGCCCTTGTATGCTGTGTTACCTCTGAATATGCATATCTTACAGTTGATCATAGCCTGCACATAAGCATATAGAGCTGATTAATTTCTTAAAAAGAAAAAAAAAAAAAACAATAACAACCTGTGCTGTTGCTCAGAAATGTGTAACTACTTCTGCTGCTAAAATAAGGGAAGTTTTGCCTACACAGATGCAACCTGGAGCCAATTTTATGTCCAATTTTTCAGCTCCTCTGAAAGGGGATGTCTATATTTTAAGAGGGACTGACAGCCTTCTTCCCCAGCACAAGTATAATGAAGGGCTGTTGCTGTAATCAAGAAATCACTTGTTGCAGCAGCAGCTTTCAATCTTGATATCAACCTGAAACAGCATTAACCTGTCGATCATTTAGCAGCAATTTTTTTAGGAAGTAGAAGTTATCTAAGCAGTAATTTGGGAGGTTCTGGGTTGGAATCCCTGTGGCCATTTCAGCCTATTTGTTATGTTTTCATCAGTGCTGTCAGTGAGGAAAAAGTAGTGTGCTGTAAGCTTTTATGCCCATTATTGAATGAGAAAAACAGTCCTGGGCTTTCTGTAGCCCTTACTGCTGTACTGACTGGTCATGCTTAAAATTAATTTGGTATTTGACTCAGAAAGCAAACACCTTGCATCTACTGACATGACATTTGACTGTCTGCGGCTTAAATTGATGTGTTTATCAGGATCTAAAAGTTTGTGCTAATGCAATGCAATTTTTCTTTTATCAGGCATTAACAATGATACTTGATGATGGCATGCGAAGATAATAAAAATGTTTCTCAGAGAATGTTTCCAGTCAGCTTGTTCAGATGCTATGCTCAAGTAAATGTGATAATAGTGGCACGTAACTAAACAATAACAACAGTAAACATTTTACTTAGGCTGTCATTTGAGGGGTTAGCAATCATGGTAGTATCCATAGTGGAAGGTAACATTACACGTCATGCATTCTGACAGATATTCTTCTTTTTTTTAATTTCTTTTTTATGTTCTCACTACACCATTGTAATGTCAACAGCTCGCCCCGTTGGTAAGTAACCATCCTTCTATCCATTTTAGCATGGCTTCATGCAATGCTTCATCTTTCATTTGCAAGAGCATTTAACTGGCTGAAATTAACAGTCAGTGCTTAATAGTTTTAACTGTCTAACACCAGGCAAGTGATTTTGACTGACAAAGTACTATTTCTGAACTTTATATTTTCTGCTGTCTCATGTATAAATGCATTTGTCAAATCACCAACAAATACCAATCAGTGAAACAGGGTGAGTCTGGTGATATGGAGCCAAAATCACATATTCGGATGTTTTTAACAGTCTATTTAGGGGCCTGGTATAAAAGCCATTGAAATCAACAGAAATGTTTGTATTGACTTTGGTGAGCTTCTACCAGGCCCTAAACAATCAGCTCATTATGCTTTTATTGCATAGCAGTAAAAGCACAGGCTTTGCATGTCCCGTCTTTCTTGTATCTTTCAACGAGTTTTGAAATGAAGTAGTCCTGAAATCGAAGAGGGGCTGGAGTAGATTTCCGTGCTTGTTAAGAAAGTCCATCACTGATTTCTGCCATTGAGTCATCTTGGAGTGCATTTTGGAACGCACTGCATAGAATGCAGACTGTATTGAATAACAAGTCCAGAGGAAGACAACCCCTGGATTTTTAATTCCTACACTGAAAATTTTGACTTTTTCCTATGCCTTTGCAATTAGTTCTGATAATTTCTAAAAATCTATCTGAGCATAATGGAAAATTTGCAACTGTCAGTAGCTGAAATTTTGTTTTGGTGTTCAGAAATATCCTGAACATATTATTTAGTTTTATTTCACGGATGTTTACTCTGTGCCTATATGGGTTTTCTAAATAACTTATCCAGTTGCACTGCTCCTCTCTTTTTGTAGTGTCTGTTTAGAATCTTTTAGAATAATAATATAGTTAGTCTGATTTTTTTTGAATTAGTGTGAAAAGTCAGTACTGGTATTTATGGAGATTGCTGAGGGGTTTGTCTTTATTAAGTCAAAATTTTGTTAGATATGTGTTTGACTAAAGTTTGTGAATTTCAATGTGTCTCAGCTCTTCATTGTTACAAGTTTGGAGGAAGAAAGGTTGGAATAATTTAAGTATAAAATCCAGGTTAGGTCTCTGTTTCCAGAACCAAGGTGATACCATGCTTATTAGCTTGCTTGAACTAGCATACATAGAGCCAAGCCAAGTACCTCTGCAGTCACAGCAGGGCTAATCCACACCTAGAGAATTCTCTGTGAAGAAGGGAAATTCACTGTTCTCCATTTGGGAATTTTATAGCAAGCTTTAAACCCCAGTCAATACTGTATCACTTTTGCATTATACTAGTTCTCAATAAATTAATTCTCAGGAATTATAACAGTGTAAAACTGAAGTAAACTTGTAGGAAAATTTTCATTCGCTTAGAAAATATAGTATGAATTTACTATGTTTCTAAGGTAAATCTTTCATGTTAGAGAGAGGGGGGTTATGGCTGCTTCTTCATTCACTAAGAAAATGCTACAAGATTAAAAGTATTTAACTTCTAGATATTTTTCTAATTTTTCTCACTCTTAAAATAAAGACAAGAAAAAAGTCACAAAATAGAGACTATTTCAGGCTCTGAAAGCCGCATAACATAGATGACTGGAGATTCACAAGAAAATTACAGGTTTCAACAGTGTTGACGGTTTCTCATTTCAGAACACTGATTCTTTTTAAAGACTTTTCAGGCCATTGAATCACCCATGATTCCATCTCCAAAGCTTATACAGAAGCTCTTGGTCTCAAGTTACTTTACGTCCAGGTACATGATCCCATTGTGTGACCATGCTATGGTCAATTTGGCATATTCCCTGCCTGCCTACGCTGTTTTGTTGCAAGTGAACATCTGGTACAAAGAAAATTCATGTTTTACATGATTTATTCAGGAAACATAAAATAGAATCGTTGACCTTAAAATAATTATTATAGGGGCATATGGTCTTTATCAGATTATTTAATTTAGTGATTCTCGTTGTGAAAAAAAAAAAAAAAGTAAATAAATCCAACCCCAAAGATGTTTAATGTGTAGAACTCCCATACAAGTTTGTATGTAGTGATTGCTGTCTATAAGCAGATCAGTTTCTTTAGATCACTTTTATCTGATCCTGTATCTGTAGGAAAGGCAATGCTGTCCTTACAGTAGTGTGGGGGTTTTTTAATCTTTTTTTGCTTAAACTGATTTCTACAGTTCATATCTCTTATTTAATTCAAAAGTAGGCAAAGCAGGAGGCTACCCATCCTGTTTCTTTTAAATTTAAAGGCTGATAAGGCAAAACAAAGTAACTTCCCTCTCCAGCACTAGTTCCCCACCAAGAAGTCCAAGTGATCTTCTGTTAAAATTGTCATTTGACAAGAATGGTGAGTCAAATCTTGTAGAATATTTTTGTTCAGCAGGTTAACTGAAATGCAGAGCAAAACTACCTCTCCATGCAGAAAGGAAGCTAAAGCAAACACTACTTAATGTTATTAAGCTCATAGCTCTCTAGGAGGGTGACATTTTAACAGAAGTGTATTTATATATTTATGTATATGTTAAACTGCAGGGAAGCTGTTTATAAGTTTATATTCTTTCGTGACATCTGAGAATTATCTAGGTACCTCTACCTTTCATCACTAACTCCCATTCAAAGCAGACATGTTTTGTCTTTATTGTGTTTACTCAAGACCAAACCATTTTCTTTCAATGGCTTGTCACTGAAAAATAGAGAAATACATTTTTAATGTTCTAGGATTGCAATTCTTTATGCAAATGGAATTTTTTTTCTATTCAATTTTTGCCTTTTTCAAATATTTATATTGTCAGTTGTGATATTTTTATTTAAATTTTAGCTTGAGTGGAAAATTCAGGAGTGGGATTATCAATGACTATGTTTAGTTCAAGCAGTTATTAGCATATGGTATATACTACATAGACAAAACAAGGTATGGTTCTGCCTGAGGTGGATGTCAGCTGATTAATTTAACAGCTCTACGCCAGATTACTCATCATATTTGGATTTGCTGCTAGGAATAAATGTGTTGCCCATTTTTAAAATAGATATTCTCTTATTTATAACCTTTTGAAAAGATTTCCAACTGGGTTTACAGCAGATGGGTTTAGGGAACAAGATATTTATCCCTGTTTAGACCATTTCTATCATTATTTCACCCATTAGTTGGATTTTCCAGATAATCAAATTAGTATTTTCTCACTTTCATATTCTCCTGTATTTCTTATGGCAGTTGGGCAGGAAAATAGCTGCTCAAAGAAGCACAAAAGTTTCATATAGACCCACTGAAAGTAACACTTGACCCTCTTTTCAAAAGCAGTTGCTATGCTGCTTTGAGGCAGAGGACCTAAAGTTTAAATAAATCTATGAAGATGTCTGATGTTTTAGTTACCTTCTTTTTAATCATCCAAAAAGTCATTCAGATGATGGAGTACTCAGTTTTTGAATTAATTTCAACTATGTCCAAGTAAAAAAACAGTCCCTTACATTTTAGTTGCCTTGCAATAAGTCAAGTTTCTTAATTTATTGTTGTTGTATGTTATCACATCTTCCCAGAAGGAAGCTATATGCAGCAAATAACTAGATATTTTGCCACCTGGAGAGAAATTAATTTTATGGAATTAACTAAGGAAGTAAAAGGAGACCAACCAAGTTACAAAAACTTTACTTCCCTACCATGCTGGAGAAGAGAGAAACAGATAAGACACCTGCAATGAATTTTCCAAATTTCATATTAATTAAGTACATTCACATTTAAGTGCTATGTGACTGTATGATGCATTTCACTCTGCTCTGGGAAGTTTTCATGATATAAATCAGCCTGGCATGACTTAATGGTCTGTAAAGTGTGCTGCAGCATGAAATATAAAACAGAAAGGGCTGCATTTTAAAGAAAGTTGTATTAGGTGTTGTGACTATAATTATATTGCTCAGATGGTTTTAGACTGGTGAGAAAGATCTCTCTTTATTCTTCTCCATTCAGACTCTTGCAGGGAAATTCTAGATAGGATGGATGATTTTATTTTCAGTGTATTCATGAATATATCATCTTCACTTGAGACACTGAGGATTTATAAAATATCAGTAATGGCAATTGATGTGTGACAGAAGAGATGCTATCTTTCAGTGGTGAAAATCTCAAATCTATATCAAAGTGTAGTATGTTGCCTGTCTGCCTGCTGCTACCACCTATAGAAATTTTCAGAAGAGAGCAAGCACAACAGTGGACATTAGGCTTTTTGGATTTGTTTCTTCCTTAAGTGAAAGAATAATACATTATTCTTCTTTAAAAATAGACAAATTCTTTAGATTAAAGAGAAAAGGTTGCCATAGAATGAAATGCAGATTTCTTTGCCTACCCATAAGAGATTAAAATATGGAGCTGACTTGTTCTGACATTTCTTAGCCTTTTACAGACCAGTCTAAAAATCCTAAAGTCCTTAGCATTTCTACTTTGGCAAAAGTCCACTAGCTGAACTTAAACTTGAACCCTATAATGACTTCAGATATCATAGAAGTACCACATTTGCAATATATGGGCCAGAATGTCTCTGCAAGTGGACACTGGGCACATTAACCACCACGGATTTTAAGTGCTGGTCCCTAAGACTCGGCTTCATTTCCAGCCGCTCCAAGTCTTCTGCAGTATGCCAGATAGTGGTCAGAACAGAAATGCAGAATGGTAAGCGTGGAAGATGGAAGTATATGTACTTGAAATTTTAGCATGTCATACTGTGATGTCCTGGCTCATTCCACTATGGCACCAGGTATGTGCAGTACTCATACTGTTTCTGTTAGAGATAACCCAGTTACGAGTGCAGGAGGAGATCAAGTGCCTTTTTTTTTTTTTTTTTTTTTAAATTGATGAACTCTGGCTTGGGAAACTTTTAAGAAGTTCCATGTGTAAATCTTATTTAACCTTCCCAAAGCATGCTCAAATCAGTGGGAATTGTTGTCTGTCTTCAGTGGATTCTGAGTCTCTCCATAAGTATTTGAA